GCAGGTCTCGAGTGATGCAGTGCGGCCGCGCGTGTGCATTGTTCCTGTGCCTCGTGTTTTCCCCGTCGATCGTCCCATCGGTTGTCAGCGCAGTGAGCATGATCGTGCTTGGACGGACGTCGGTCAGAAGGTTGAAGCTCAGTTGGTGGACTGCAACCAGGACGGCTCCCCTACGGGCTCTTCGACCCGCCCTGAGCTGTCGCATGCTTGGAACTGCTTTCTTCGCCAGGCAGAGATCGAGCTGTGTGATGTATATGATTTTGTAGGAGAAGATGCGCATACATACCAGGGTCGCGATCAGCCACTCCGTCCCAAGTGGGTCTCCGTGCTGGCGCCGAAGATCCCCAGGTTCCCGAAGGCGTCTCCTGAAGCTTTGTGGCTGCGCGCGGTCTCGGCTAGCCTGCACTTTGCGTCTTGCTCTGCTCAGCCGCTCACTCGCGTCACCGCTTTGCGTGCTCTTGCTCGTAAGCAGGCGACGGCGCCTGCTAGTGCGCAGACAGGTGCAGGACCTGCAGGTGAATGGTGGGGATTGTTCCAGATCTTCGGGGCCGAGTTCTGGGATTGCGAGATCCTCGGGGTCCTGGCGAACATTACCAAGAAGGTGGCCCTACGAAAACCAACGGCAAGCTAAGTTTCGAGCCTGGGTTGATGAGCAAGCTGTCGGAGGGGCTGGAGGGCCCCACAGAATCACGAAGCTCCCAGAGGGCGTTCACGACACCAGCACCGAGTCGCTTTTTCGCCCTCGTGATCGGCAGCAGCAGGTGGACAAGATACAGGAGGAGTGGAGCAGGTGGTGGAGGGTCGGAGAGTGGCACAAGGGCTTCATTTGGCCTGAGGATCTTGGTGTTCGCCCAGAGCGTCCATGCGTCGAACTTCTTCGAAAAGTTTTGAAAACCTTCCCCAAGCACACTGGCATGAGTTTCTGCATAATTCGGCCGCAGCAGTTGTCCATGCTGTGCGATCCTGCTCTGGAAGTGTTTATCGACATCCTGATGGCCGTCGAGGCGTCGGCCGAGTGGCCGAAGTTTGCCTCGAAGTTCGCCTTCTTGTCCAAGCGCCTGGGCGGTGTGCGCCCCATAGCGCTAATTAACGTGTTGGTTCGGGTTCAGGCACGCCTCCGCCGCCCGATAGCCCGTGAGTGGGAGCCCCGCAATGATCGATCGTAGTTCTGGGCCTCCAAGGGGCGATCGTGCGATCGAGCCGTCTGGCAGCAGACGGCCTGGTCTGAGTATGTGTCCACTAAGGCTAAAGGTTCCACTAAGGGCATTTGGGTCTCTGGTATGGTTCTCTTGGGTCTGATGAACGCCTTTGAGCAAGTGGAACATCATTGGCTTTTGGAGGCTGCAGTGGCTACTGGATTCCCTCTCTGGCAGCTCAAGTTGAATGTTGAGTTATATCGTGCTGAGCGTTTTTGTTGTCTGGGCCAAGTCGTCTCGTCGCCGATGGTGGTTGAGCAGGCCATTCTACCAGGTGGCGGCTGGGCCACTTGCATGCTCAAGTTGATTTTGATTCGGCCGCTTGACTCCATGCACAGAATGCATCGAACCGTCGTCCCCACCACTGTCGTTGACGATTTGCTACTGCACAGGATTGGCACGCAATCTAGAGTTACGCGTGAGCTGGTCCAGGCGTCGTTAGACTTGCAGGAGGCCCTCGCTGCAGTGGACTTACGTGTCCATGTTGACAAGTCACGTGTGTTGTGCAATGAGCAGCGTGTGCGCGATGAGGTTGCACGACGTCTGCAGGCGAAAATGAGCACGAAAGCTACACTGCATGAGCGAAACCTTGGCATTGACTTCTCTTGCGGGCGGCGCGTCGGGCATGCAGTTCGCAAATCTCGGCTTCTGGGTGCTCGTCAGCGCCTGAGGAGGATTGGCCTCATCCGCACTGGGCACAAGAAACGTCTGGGAGTTCGAAAGGTTGCTCGGTCGGGTTTGGAGGCGAGTCTGTCTTATGGGATGAATGTTACGGGATGCTCGACTTCGAACCTTGAGACTATGCGTAGCACTGCGTTCGCGTGTCTCACTGGGGCTACCGCTGGGAAGTCCCGCACTTCATTTAACCTTGATATGCGAGAAGGATGCTGACCCGATCCTTCGAGCTACTCTGATGCCTGCGCTCACGCTCTGCCGAGCTATCTGGGAGGGGTGGGTGCCGAGGCATGTGGTGCGGGATAGGCTGGAAGGAAGTTCGTCGGTCTCGCTCTGGACCCAAGTGTCTGGTCCGTTTAGTGCGTGTCGGCTGTCGTTGGCTCGTGTCGGCTGGTCGATTCGTTCCGCCTTCGAGTGGACCACGCATGAGGGCTTAGACCTTGATATCAGTGTGCTCTGTCCTCGAGTGATCCGCCACTATTTGGCGCAGGCTGCCACGGCCTGGCAGTGGCGACAGGTGGCGAAGCACGGTGATTTGAAACATCTGGAGTTTGGAGCGGTTTGGTTGCCCCTGGTCCAGGCTGTCTCCAGCGGACGGCCTCGCTGTGCTCAAAATCGGGACCTTCCGACCCTGGGGCCCGAGGCGCGTGCGTACCTTCGTTCGTGCATTGTTGGCGGGCAGTGGCCCATGGTCAGGAAGTTTGAAGCTAGGAAAGCCTTGAGTAATGAGCGCCTCATTTGTCGCAAACCTGGCACTCTTGTCCACAGACATTTCGAATGTGACTTGTGTCAGGAGCTGCCGTGCCCTGATGCGTTTACTTCGCTGGTTCAGGCTCAGGATCGGTCCCAGGTCCGTGTGCTCCTGGAGAGGGCGCTTTGGCCCATCCAGCGGACCTCGTGGAGGGCCCCTGCCCAGGACACGGTGGTCTGGCATCAGCATGCGGGGCCTGGGGCCCTGATTGCCAAGGAAGCCTACCTGGACGGTTCGGTCTTTGAAGGCCAGTGGAGTAGTTTGAGTTGTACAGGCTGGGCCGTCGTTACTCTGCTTGATGAGGCCCCCCTCGGTGTAGTTGATATTGTTTACTGCACTTGTTCGCAGTCCGTTTTCGACATCGACGGGGCCGAATTGGAGGCCTTGATCTTTTTGGTTCAGAATTCGTTGCCTCCGATCACTGCTGTCACTGATTCAGATTTTGTGTTTCGTGGAGCGACTGGGAGAGGGGAAGAGGCCACCGCGGCCCATTCCTCGGCCTGGGCTTGTCTCTGGCGGGTCTGCTGGAAGGCCCTGGCCGAGTTTGACGGCCTTTGCGAGGCCGGCCTTTCGATGCGTAAGGTCAAGAGTCACTGCGCGATGTCTGACGTGGATGCGGGCCGCATCACGCGTCGGGACCGCTTCGGCAACTTCCACGCCGACGCATGGGCGAAGTTTGGAGGCCAGCTTGCGCGCGCGCCTGCTGAAGATAGGAAGCGCATGCAGCAGGCTGAGCAGTTTGTGGAGCAGGTGGGGCACAGGATTGGGGAGGTTGGCGCGCATGTGGACGGGCGTGACACTACGCGCGTTGCGCGCCGCACGCGTGTGAGCGCGCCCCCTCTCCTTGTTGTCGTCCCTGCTCAGCTGCCTCATGATTGAGGAGGGCCTGCCAGGCGACCCTGGTGTGCTCGCTGCCGTGCTGTGGCCCCCGTGTCCGAGGTCTGCCCTGGGTCGATCTCGACGCGCGCGCGCGATGCCAATGAGCGCTTGCACGAGCAGGGTTTGAAGGTACATCGGTTAGTTGTTTCTAGGGTGGAGGAGTCCCTTCAGGATGCGGCCCGTCCTTTTGTTGCGTGTACGCTCTGTGGTGCGCACAGTTCGAAGCAACTCAAGGGATTCCTCGCCCCGTGTTGCAAGCCTGGGGAGTGGGGTAGGCGGGCCGTCCGAAGGATGTGCCAGGGCTACCTCCCAGGTGTGGCTGGGAAAGTTCCAGCTGTTGTCGTTCCTCTAGCGTAGGGACTTCCCGCGTGGACAGTTGCGCCCTCAGAGGGGGGCCCCACGGCTTCGCGAAGAAGAGAATCAAACACAAGCGCAATTCCGAACCCGATCCGACGAGATCATCATACGCATTTCTCACCCCAGAATGTTTCTGCCTCGTTATTGTTATTCCCCTGCGTATCACCATTCATGTTTGGTTTCGTTTTTTTTTCCCCGCGGTTCCTCATCATCCTCCATCCCTTATTCTTCGGTGTCGCCGTCACGCCTTGTGACGCTGGTCGATCGCATCCCATGTTGTTCAAGACATGATGATGCACATCCGCCTTCGCAGTGCCATCGACACTGATTCGCATGTGTGTACATATTACAAAAATCTAAATATAGTAATATATAGCCAACCCACTGTACCTCCCGGTTGATTATCCCTCTCTCTCTCGTTACCTCTCTCTCTCTCTCTCCATCTGTCTTTCTCTCGCTCTGTTTGTTTCTCTATGTTCCTCTCGTTCTCTCACTATGTTTCTCCCCCTCACCCTTTTCCGTAGTGCTCTTGCATTTCATCAGCTCATCTTTCCCCATCATGTTCGGCATGAACAATTTTTGTCCGAGGGGTCGTGTATCGAAGGGCGTGTCTCGAGCTGGTGCTCGTTCTACTGAGCATCCATGCGCCTTTGCTTCTGATAGTCCTGCAGTCCTTCCTTCTCCTGGACCCTCCTCATCCGCCTGCCCTGCCTGTGTCCTCATCCTGCTCCTCCATTCCACTTCCCCTCATCCACCACCTCTGCCTTCATTCTGACTCCTTCATGGCGTCCCGACCACAACGTGTAGGGTCGCTTGCACAGGCCAACGTTGGGAGGTAGGCGCTTTCTGTGCGCGAGGAAGAGGCGGAGCCTGAGGCGAAGACGGTCGAGGAGAAGGAGCAGCAGAAGAAGAAGTATGAAGGGACGCGGGAGTCCCGGGCGCCCCCTTTTTTCCGATGTGGGGAGGGAGGAGGGGGAGAGAAGGAGCAAGGAGGAGCAAAGAGCAAGGAGCGAGGTGGAGCGAGGAGGAGGAGGAACAAGGAGGAGGAGGAGGAGGAGGAGGGGGGGGGAGAGGATGAGCAAGGAGGATGAGGAGCAAGGACGAGGAGGAGGAGAAAGGACGAGGAGGAGGAGGAGGAGGAGGCACGCCCGAGGCAACGGCCTGCTCGAGGAGGGCGAGCTCGTCGCGCTCAACGAGAAGATCGCGGTGCTCCACCACGGCCCAGGCACGGACACCACGGAGGTTTCGCGCCCCTCTGGCCGCTGGCCGCGGCGTCGACGCCACCGCCGCCAACGGCGTCGACGACGACCGGCGACGACGACGACGACGTCGACAGGTTCGATTGGCGGCGACGACGATATTGACGTCAGCGGCGTCGACGATGTCGACGACCGACGCCCGACGGCGACGACGACGACGACGACGACGACGACGACGACGACGACGACGGCGGCGCAGTCGTGGGCGGCGACGACGGCAGAGGCGGTGGTGGAGGTGGTGGTGGCGTCGGCAATTGAATCAGCATCATCTGTCATTGCCGTCGGCGGCGGGTTCGGTCGGTCGGTCGTCGTCGTCAGCGTCGTTGTCGGCGTTCCCCTCTACTCTCCCTCACTCCTTCGTACTATTCCTCCCGGCTCGTGCTCCCTCCTCCCTCCTCGCTTCCTTCCTCATAACCTCCTCGTTCTCCTCCTTTGCCCCTCCTTGTCCTCATCACTCGTCCTCGATATGTTCCCCCATCGTCCTCTTCTGTTCCTCTCCTCTTCTCTCTACATATTCGTGCTCCCCTATTCCTCTTTCCTTTCCAACACTCCGAGGGCCATCGATAAGGGAGGCGAATGGTGGCGGAAGTCATGACTGCGTCGCAGGGTTCATTCCACCATCCACGAAACCCTTGAGTTTTCCTGCAGCTTTCAGCCGTTGTAGACGGCTGGGTGTTATCCACTCCTGCGCTAGATGCTAGAGCACCAGCGGCAATGTCGACGACGCCTACGGCGAATCACCGCCGCCCCGTGCCTTTTTGGAAGCGCCTATGTGGCCGAACGTTGAGGCCAGACCTGCCAAGCCATCGGACCATGTGTTCCCCGAATCGGTTTGGAAAGCCTTTGGGGAACACGTGGGCATCTTGAAGGTCATCTTGGCCGTCTGGAGGCCATGTTGACCCTTTCGGGCCGTCTTTGGGGCCTCTTGGGGCCGTCTTGGGCCTCTGGGCAATCTTTGGGGGCACTTGGGCCGTCTCGGGCCGTCGGAAGGCCGAAAAAGCAAATGACAATCCTTCAAAGACTCTTGAGAAATCAATGAGTTTGGCCGTTTCGGGTCTTCCTGGAGCCCCTCTTGGAGGTCTCTTTGGCCGTCTTGGGCCATCTTGGGGCAATCTTCGGCCGTCTTGGTGGGCTCCTGGCCCATCTGATGGACCATCTTGGAGGCCATCTTGGGCCGACGGCCATCTTGGGCCGACGTGGCCATCTTGGAGGCCATCTTGGACCGTAAAACCATGTGCAACCGGCTCTGGAAGATCCTGGGCAATGCTTCCGGGACCCTGGCAAGACGCGCAGGAGCCCCAGGGGGAGTTCTTTGGGAAAAGAACCAAAAACCACTACTCCGACGGTAAGAACCCACATGAGAATATGTTTAGCTTGCCTGGGGATCTCCTCCTGCCCCCTCGCTTCTCCCACCTACTCCTGCCTCCTTTTCCTCCTGCCTCCTCCTCCCCTTGCCTCCTCCACCTCCTCCTCCTCCTTTTCCTCCTCCTCGTTATGCCTCCTCCCCCCATTCCCCATGCTCCTCCTGCCTCCTGCGTCCTCCTCCTCCTCCTGCTGCTTTCCCCTTCCCTCCTCCTCCTCCTCCTCCTCCTCCTCCTCCTCCTCCTCCTCCTCCTCCTCCTCCTCCGCCTCCCCTCTCCATCTTCCTCTTCTCCCGCTCCCTCCTCCGCCTTCTCCTCCTCGTCTCCATCTTCCCCATCCTCCTCCTCCGCCTCCCCCTCCTCCTACCTCCTCCTTAGGCTTCCTGGGGACTCTTGGGGCCTCCTGGAGCCTTCTAGGCCTCCCGGGACATCCTAGGGCCTCCTGGGCATTCCTCTTCCTCCATGTCCTCCTCGTCCTTCTCGCCCTCTGCTTCCTCCTTCTCCTCCTCCTGCTTCTCTTTCTCGTCCTGCATCCTCCTTCCTCCTCCTTCCTGCTCGTGCGGAACACGACCCAGAGGAAACGCACGACGTGCGTCCCGGCGGATACGCGCCGGAGGACGACCCAAAGGCAGCGCGTGCCGGATGACGAGAGGTGCGGGCCCCATAAGGACGGGGGCTCCCGCCTGAGCCTTCCTCACAGTTCACTCACAGTCGAGGCTCCCGCCTGATACTTCCCCCAGATTCAGGCCTCAGGAGCCCAAAAGTGAAGACAGTTACAGGTTCGAGTATGACCCGCTCGGATTGCCAACATGAAGCGGGCCCCATAGGGAGGTGGCTCCCGCCGGAGACTTTCTCACAGTTCACTCACAGACGAGGCTCCCGCCTGATGCTTCCCCCAGATTCAGGCCTCAGGAGCCCTCTGGGACCGCCGGCAACGTCGTGAAGGCCGAAATGTCGTAGAAGGTAAAAGTGTGCATTTTCAAATAAGAATTGGAAAATTTGACATCGTTGGTTGGATACCTGTTGGGGCGTCGTGGAGGCGTTTTGCGAGCACGACATACGTCGAGAATGGCGTTTAGAATGGCGTCGGCCCCCTCCCCCTCCATGGTCAGAGCGTCGGAACAGCGTCGGGGATGGTGTGGGCCCCCCGCCCCCGAACACTAATGCGTCGGGAATGACGTCGGGCATGGCGTCCCCCACCCCCCCCTTAATGGTGTAGGCCCCCCCACCCCCGAGCACTAGAGGCGTCGGGAATGGCGTCCACCCCCTCTTAATGGTGTGCCCCCCCCCCCGAGCACGAAATGCGTCGGGAAGGTCGTCCCCTCCCCCCCCTTGCAGAGCGAAACATGAGCGAGCTCGAGTCCACGCCGAATCGGCGGATTTCAGGGTCCCAGCGGATCACGAAACAAGCCAGAACACACCCACAGAGCCAGGGTATGAACCAGAGGCGAGGGTCGGGGGGAATGGGAAAGGGTTAATCAGCATTCGCACATACCAGAATTCTTCAGAGAGGTGCAAGGAAAATGTGCTGTCCGGACTCTGACCCTCGGCAGGCAGCATCAAAAAAAGAGGAGGAACAGAGGGGAGGGGGAGAGGGCATCACAATTGTGAGCACAATTGTTTCGGTATGGTGTCTCACGCGCTGGCTCCAGTCACCAGTCCGCCATAATTGGCGCAGAGCATTATGACTACCCGCTGCCGTGCATGAGATGTCGGAAACGTGTCGCTTCCAGGAGCTCCTCGGCCTGCTGCGTTTACGGCGACCTTCTGGCCAACGTAATTCCAAGGTCTTTGGGGCAAGGAGGCAACGTCTGACAGCGTTGTCAATTAGAAGTTGAGCAACGTTCTCCGGCAGAAGGTCCGCAACATCGCATCATTCGTGATTCTGCTACTATACGACTGCGGTATGCCTGAAAGCTTGCGCAGGCGTCTCGCTTGAGAAGCGTCTAGTGTGCAACGTCCTGGTTCTCCAGGCAAACAGTAAACAATGAGCACCTTAATGTAGAGACGACCCAGGCATTCAGCATTGCAACCTTTCCCCCAACGGTATCCTTCTGCGCCTTAGATGGCGCAGAACGCCTCGACGCCGGCGCTTTACACGTGGACCCCGAGCCGTGCGCTGCTGCATCGGAGATGAAAGCTGCGCGGGATAAGCTGTGTGGTCATAGCTATGACGCGTATATAGGGGAACGAAAAGTGATATAAACATAAAAATTCGGAGGTCCGCGCGGACATCAGAGTTTTTATGTTTATGCCACTTTTCGTTCCCCTAGTAAACTATCTGATGTGAGCTCTGGAGGTGCAAATTAAGCGGGGTACTCTATGTGGTGCAAGCTGTGACGTACAAGTTGTGCGGTGCGATTTGGAGGTGCCGTTCCAGACGATCCAGACCCCCGGACGCCTCTCGGCGAGGCGCAGATGCTGAAACTCATCCCGAGGCACGTCTTTTTTTTCAGGAAGCGACGAAAACGGTCGAACACCCCGGAGATTCGACGAAGGTCTTTTGAAAATTCCCCTCCTCGGCGCGCCTCCGAAGCTCCGCTTGCCAAGAGCAGGTGCGCGAGAAGTACGAGGCGCTCTTCCGCGAGCGCCTCGACCCCGACGGCAAGCCGGTGGCCCCCACCGCCTCGGCGCCGATGGCGACCACGTCGTCGCCGACCTCGCCGTCGTCTACGTCGTCGACGTGGCCTGCGCTGGCGTCGCCGCTGGCGTCGCCGACGTCATCAGCCTCGAGGTCGTCCTCGTCGTTCCTGGCGTCGTCGACGTCCTCGTCGTCGTCGGCGTCGCCGTGGTCAGTTTCCTGGTGGCGATGTGGTCCTTGCCCTAGTGTCGGCGTCGCTTTCGTGTCATCGTCGTCGTTGATGTTGTCGTTGCTGTCGTCACTTTCGTCATTGTTGATGGAAGCCGAATGAGGTATCCAGAACTATGAAGTGGCCCGCTCCCCCCACCCGCCCTTCCCCAGGGCGAGGAATAGCGTTCCGGACGGCTACAGATATATGCAGCTGCTTGCGGCAAGTCCCCCCACCGTGATAGCCCACCATTACGGGTGGCGACTGTTCGAGGGGGCACGGGAGGCCATCACGTCTGACATCTCGTGTCTCCAGGCTTGGGAGAGCCTTGATAAGTATGATGATTATGATGATGATGATGATGATGATGATGATGGTGATGGTGATGGTGATGGTGATGGTGATGGTGATGGTGATGAGAATGATGATGGTGATGATGATGATGACGATGATGACGATGATGACGATGATGATGACGACGATGATGATAATGATGATGATGGTGATGATGATGATGGTGGTGGTGGTGGTGGCGGTGGTGGTGGTGGCGGTGGTGATGGTGATGATAACGATGGTGGTCAGAATGGCAATGTCGATGATCGTGATGATGATGATGATGATGATGATGATGATGATGGTGATGGTGATGGTGATAGTGACGGTGATGGTGATGGTGATGAGAATGATGATGGTGATGATGATGACGATGATGACGATGATGACGATGATGACGGTGATGATAATGATGGTGATGATGATGATGATGATGGTGGTGGTGGTGATGGTGGTGGTGGTGGTGGCGGTGGTGGTGGTGGTGGCGGTGGTGGTGGTGATAATGATGGTGGTGAGAATGGCAATGTCGATGATCGTGATGATGATGATGATGATGATGATGATAATGGTGATGGTGATGGTGATGGTGATGATGATGTTGACGACAATGACGATGACGATTATGATGACGAGGTTGATGATGATGTTGATGGTGGTGGTGATGGTGATGCTGAGGAGGAGGAGGAGGAGGAGGACGACGATAATCATGGCTATCTTGATGATGTTGATGATGATGGTGATGGTCGTGTATAGTGATGGTTTGTTAGTGGTAATGATGATGATAATGATGATGATGATGATGATGATGATGATGATGATGATGATGATGATGATGGTGGTGGTGATGATGATGATGTTGTTGATGTTCATGATGATGATGATAATGATGCTGGTGGTGCCGATTCTCGATTGACCGATCGATCGACGACGACGGCGACGACGACGACCCGCCCGTCAGAGGTGGGTTTCGACGTCTTCCACGGCTACGCGTCCGAGGTGCTGGAGAGCCTGGACCCGGACCCAGAGGCGCAGGACCTCCGGGGGAGGAGGAGAGCTCGGAGGAGGATCGAGGGCCCCCAAACGGTGTGGTGATCACACCGTGCAGTGAGTCACTGGGGATTCGGGGTCACCATACGGTTTTGGGACTTGGGTCGTTCTCTGAGGGTGTCTCGGGTGACTGAGGCCTCCAGGGTCCCGAAACCGTGCGGTGAGGTCTCTTGGGATTTCGAGGTCACCGCATTGCCTGTCACTACACGGTCTTGGGACCCCAAGGGGAAGAAGAGGAGTTCTGGAGGAGTTCGGAGGAGCTCGGAGGAGAATGAGTAGGATTGACAGAGAAAAATTGCATTAATGTATTTCCTGAAATCCGCATGGGTTCTTCGGATCGGCGCTGAGCAGCCTCCGTCGCCGAGCGGCAGAGAATGTGTTGTGCGAGTCTTTCTGTACAGCTGGAGTGGACAGAAACAGATTGTTACCAATGATGTGGTATCGTATCGTATCGTATCTTCTTCTCTCCTCCTATCTTCTCATCCTCCCATCCTCTCACGCATCCTCATCTCCTTGCCCTCCCCTCCTCCTCGTCCACCACCACCACGCAAATATGCTGTTGGACGTGTTGTCAATGTTTTTTGGCATCTTGGGGCGCCCTCGTCGCAGCGGCTGGATCCGCGATCTCTGTGGGCTGACGACGCACCCCTGGACAGGCATGGAGCGCGATCTCTGGGGGGGGACGACGGTGGCGGCGACCGGCGACCACGAGGGGCGACGGCCGTCAAAGGAGATGATATTGGAGCAGTTCGTGGCGGAGGCGAAGTCCGCCCGCCACTTGTTCCACGCCCCCGACATGGCGACCAAGGACGCCGGTGACGGCGACGGCCAAGATGACGGCGTGTTCAACGACGACGGCGACGGCGGCGGCAGGGACCGTCGTCGGCACACCCGTCCTCCTCATCCTCATCCTCGCCGTCGCCCTCTGCGTCGTTGTCGTCGTAGCCCTCCCGGTCTTTGTCAACCTCTTCCGTTTCGGTTCCCTCCGTGGAAGAAACGGAAATTGAGGACGACGACGAGGACGGCGGGGTCGATTGCTGCCGCGACGACGGACAACGACGTCGACGGTGCCGTCGGCGGCGACACCGACGGTAGAGACGACGTCGTCGCCCCCGTCGTCGTCGCCACCATGCTCTTCGTCGTCCATCCTCCTCGTTGTCGGTACAGTCAACCCGCATGATAAGGATGGGCAACCTTCCCAAGGGTACCCTTGCATCCTTGTCCCTTCGGCCCATCCTTGGCCACTTTCTCTGGCCGTGCCCCGCTCGAAAAGCATCGAAATGGCCCTCCATGGCCCTTGCATCCTTATCGCGCATCCTTACTGTACGGGTTGACTGTAGTCGCCCTCGTCTTCCTTGGCAACCCGTCCTGGACCAGTGCCAGCACGCGCGCGTCGGCAGGCGGGCCCGCTCGTTTCTCTGGAGAGGGTTCCTGCACCCCACACATCACCCGCAGATGCGCAGACGAGTTCTCCGGGGATCTGCACCGCCTGACACGTTCTGGGCGGCCATGTCTTAGACATGCCCGCGTCGTGAAACAAACAAGACGGGAGGCTGCTGACCTTCTCCGGCCTTCGGGGGGCCCCCTGCCAGGCCCCCGGGACCATCACAAAACGGCTCGGGATGAGAAGCCGGCCCTGGGGAAATGGCGGGGACTTCGGGGGCCCCAGATGGAGAAATGACCCCAGCGAACACCCAAGTGGCAGCAAAGATGAAGGGGCGGGTCGAGGAGCAAAAGGTCGGCGAGTGAACACGTGCAGTCCTAAATAGATAGTCCGATGGATTCCCAGGAAACGCGCGGCCACGTGCACCTTCGCGTATGTTTACCAGGGATCGTTGCCGTCGGGACCAGACATGCAGCCGCCATCGAGGCGACCGCACGAGTCCTGAATAGACTGGGGAAGCCTCGGGCGAAGCGGCTGCCGGACCAGGCGAGCCAGGGCTCCCCGCCCCCTTTGAGGGACTCTCGTGTGCCCTTTTCCCTACACTAGTAGAGCCCTCCAGCGAAATGCCGTCAGGAGGAGGAGGAGGAGGAGGAGAAGGGGAGGAGGAGGCAGGGAGGAGGAGGCAGGGAGGAGGCGGAGGAGGAGGAGGGGGAGGATAGGGGGCTGCGGCGGAGGAGGAGGATAGGAGGCGGAGGAGGCGGAGGAGGAGGAGGAGGTGGAGGAGGAGGACGAGGTCAGGACACCTGGGGTCCAAGCCTCGCCCACGTCCTCGTCCCCCCGCCTGGCCGTCACCCTCACGCCGACCGCTCCTGGCCCTGCCGCGGCGAGGAGCGGCCGCGGCCGAGGGGCCGCTCGCAGGGGCGGCGTCGTCCTCGCCACCGTTCGGCGGCGAACGCCGAGCCCTGCCCTCGCCGGATCGACGATATTTCATGCAGCCCGATGGGCGGCGGGGGTGGGGCTCGGAACTCGTCGGACCCGTGGCGAAGTCCGAGCCCCACCCGCGCCGATCAGCAATTCAGGCAACTCGATGGGCGACGGGGGCAGGGTTAGGAATTCTACTGGGGGCAGGATTCGAATGTCGCCACCTAGGGGAGACCATGGGCGGCGGCTCCCTGACCGCGCTGCCGGTCATCGAGACCCAGGCGGGGGTGGCGGCCCCCGGTCGATTCAGTAGAATCGATGGTTGGTGGGGGTGGGGCTCGGATGTCGCCTCGGCGCCAGCGCCCTGCCCTCGGCGAGGAGCAGCTGCGGCAGGAGCAGCAGCGTCAGCTCGCCGCGGCGCTGCTGCGGCGGCCGCTGCGGCCCCTCCACGGCGGGCTCCTGCCGGCGGGCGCCTCGGCTCGTCGCCGTCAGGGACCCGGATCTCGGTGTGTGTCTTGTTGGCCGGCGGTTTCTGGTCGATGTCGGCCTTGGGGGGTCGTGCGTCGGGCCCCAGGCCAGTAAGCACGGGTCCGGGACGAAAAATTGCCTTTGGGGAAGCGGTCGGGGCCTCGGATTGAGGAGAGAACAAAAAGAAGATCGGCGGATGTCGGGAGACGGCGGCAGCGGCAGCGGCGGCCGCGAGGACCACGAAGAGGAGGGCCAAGACGACGGCGGCGGCTGACGACGACGGCGGCCAGGATGCCCAACTAGGAGGAGGAGGAGGAGGAGGCGGAGGAGGAGGAGGAGGAGGAGGAGGAGGAGGAGGAGTGGGAGGAGGAGAAGGAGGAGGAGTGGGAGGAGGACAACGACGCCGCCGCTGACGAAGAATTTGACTGCAATGCTGATGTCCTCGGCCGACGACTGCGTCGACGCTGACGACGACGGATCCCGCCGTCATCTGTCGCCGTTCGATGCCGTCGTCTGTCCGCATCGCCGTCGGATCTCATCGTCTCCGCACGGCTCCTCCTCCTACTCCTCCTCCGCGTCCGCCTCCGCCTCCGCCTCCGCGTCCGCCTCCGCCTCCTCATCTACCCCTCCATGGACGTTGGACCTCCTGCACCTCTTCCTCCTCCGGGGCGTGCTGCCCCTGCTACTGCGCCCATGCTAGCGCGTTCCGCACTGTCCGCTGCGGAGCTGATGCGTCCGCTACGGCCGCGACGGACGCCGCCGCCCGCCCCGGGGATCCCACCGCTGCCAGGGGGAGAGGAGGGGAAGGAGGAGGAGGAGGACTAAGAGGAGGAGGAGGAGGAGGAGGAGGAGGAGGAGGAGAAGGAGGAGGAGGAAGAGGAGGAGGAGGAAGACGAGATGTTGAACCTGCTAATGTGGACTTGTGCTCCCCCCCCCTCTTCCTCCCACTCCCCTTGCGGCCACCCCTCGCCGGAGGCCCTCCGAGCCGTCGGAGGCCCACGGGGAAGCCCTCCGAAGCCCTAGTCGTCCCCGCTGGGCGGCCGACCTTTCTTGGGTTCGCGCTCTGGCCAAAATCAAAGGGCATCCGGCAGCGGCAACGGGGGTGCCCCCGACCCTCGATCCACGATCCTCAACTCTCGAAGCCTCGAAACCTCGACCAGAGCATCGATCATCGAACCTCGATACCTCAAAGGCATCCTCGCCGCCCCCGCCCAATAACGGCGACGCCAGCGCGGAATTCTTGGATCCGCACTGGGGGCCCCCCTTGGCGGCGACTCCAGCGCCGCCCCTAGTGCGCTCCGCGCGCCAGGGAGGGGCGCCCAGCGCCGACCTAAGAAATTCGCGCGAAGCTCCGTAAGCTGGTGTTTGATGGAGGTACACGGCTGAGAAAGCACACACTGTTTGGTCGGCGGGGCGAGAGCGAACCTCGTCCACAAGAAGAAAGCACACACAAACACAAACACAAACACACACACACACACACACACAGAGACACGCGCGCGCACACACACACACACACACACACACACACACACACACACCCACACACACACACACACACACACACACACACACACACACACACACACGGGGGGGGGGGATCGCCAACCTATTGTGTAGGGCAAACGACGAACATTTCTGGAGGCGACATTGTTTTCAAGCGTCCATCCCCCGCCAGATTTACTGGGCGTCCCGAATTTCTTGGATCTGCGTTGGGCCCCCCTGGCAGCGCCTCTGGCACCGCCCCTGGCGCGTTTCGCGCGCCAGTGAGGGGACCCAGCGCAGATCCAACTAAGCCGCGCGGAGCTCCGACGGATCATGATTGTGTCTTTCTCTTCCAGGCCGTCGCCAGGCCGGGGAGCCACCAAGAAAACGGCTCGGGATGAAAGACATGTCAGGGGAAGGGTTCCAGATCTCGGGAGGTCCACGCTGTGAAAAAAAGATGCGAACGGTTTGAGTGCTGAGGAGGGAGACCTCCGCCGTCCTCCTCGCCAAAGGTGTCCATGGCCCAAGGTGCTCCCAGGATGGCTAGGGAGCCCCCGCGGCCTCCAGGGCACCCTCGCGGCTCCAAACTGGCCAGAAAAGTTGTGGACCCGAGAGTTGATGTCGACCACCGCCACGGCCCCGACCACGACCACGATGACGACGATGACGACGACGACGACGACGACGACGACGACGACGACGACGACCGCCGACGACCGCCGACGACCGCCGACTGCAACGGCCTCAGGCGCTCTTCGGGCTGATCGGCGCGCAGCCCGCTCCCTCCTCTCCCTTCTCCTGCTCCTGCTCCTTTTTGTACTCCTCTTCCTCTTCCTCCTCCTCCTCCTCCTGCTCCTGCTCCGCGCCAGGGCCGACTCCAGCGCCTCCCATGACGCGCTCCGCGCGCCAAGGACTGAGGCCCAGCGCCGACCTAAGAAATCCGCGCGGAGCTCCGTAAGCTTGGTTCGATGCAGGTACACGACTGGGACACTCGCCATCCCGTCTTCGTCGTGGTCGTCGTCGCCCCAGGACTGCAGTACGCCCGCGCAGCCCCCCCCTGGCCTTTGCCACCCGCACAGAGCCGTCGTCGTCGTTGTCGTCCGTCGTCGTCGTGCTCCAAAACTGCAAGACGCCTGCACAGCCACATCCCCCTCCCACCACATGCCATCCGCCAAGGGCCGTCGTCGTCATCGTCGTCGTCTTCTCCTGGGTTTGCAAGCCGCCCACGCAGCCCCGCCCCCTTGTTCCCTGTACGCAATCCGCAAAGGGTCGTCGTCGTGCGTCGTCGTCGTCGTCTTCGTCGCCCCCCCGGGCCTGCAAGACGCCTGCGCAGCACCACCACCACCCCCGTCAGGCTATTTGCAAAAAGCCGTCGTTTTCGCCTTCGCTGGCCGTCGTCGTCGTTCCCCGAGACTGCAAGATGCCTACGCAGCACCATCCGCAAATGGCCGTCGTCGTCGTTGTCCCGTCCTTCGGGACTGCAGGACGCCCACGCAGCACCCAGCCCCCCCCTTTCGCCATCCGCAGTCCGCCTTCGTCGTCGTCGTCGTCGTCGCCCGTCGTCGTCCCAAGACTTGCAGGACGCCCGCGCATCCCCCCCATCCACGCAGGCCATCCGCAGTCCGCCGTCGCTTTTGTTGTCGTCATCGCCCGTCGGTGTTCTTCCCTTCAGAACTTCAAGACGCCCGCGCCAGGGGGCAGGGGGTGCCTTCGACCAGTCCGACTAGCCACCCCCACCGCTCCAAATTGTCAGCCCCCGGACCTCCCCTGGCCTCCCGGACGGCCTGGGGGCCAACCCGACTTGTCCGCTCTCCGTGGGCCGAGCTCTCCGAGGAGCGCCGCGGGACCAGCGAAGTCGTCGCTGACGTCCGTTGTGCCGATGCTTGTTTCTCAATCGCCGCCCCCGCCGCCCTCGAGAAGGGCGATCGGGAAAGGCGCCCTCGCCGCCCCCGCCCAGAGGAGAAGGAGGAGGAGGAGGAGGAGGACGAGGACGAGGACGAGGACGAGGAGGAGGAGGAGAACGAGAAGGAAGAGGAGGAGGGGGAGGAGGACGAGGAGGAAGAGGAGGAGGGGGAGGAGGAGGAGGAGGAGGAGGAAGAGGAGGAGGAGGAGGAGGAGGAGGAGGAGGAGGAGGAGGAGTCCCTCGGCGGCGCCCGCGCCGGCCCAGAGGCCGCCCAGCCGCCGCGGGGCCCCGCGCCGGCCGCGAGCAGCCGCGGCTCGTCCTTCGGCACGCAGACGGCGCGGCCGCAGGCCGATTTTGCGCCTCGCCGGCGTTGCCGCCGTTTTCTCCTCCTCCTCCTCCTCCTCCTCCTCCTTCCTCCTCCTCCTCCTCTCCTCCTCCTCCTCCTCCTCCCCTCCTCCCTCCTCCTCCTCCTTCCTCCTCCTCCTCCTCCTCCTCCTCCCTCCTCCTCCTCCTCCTTTTCCTCCTCCTCCTCCTCCTCCCTCCTCCTCCTCCTCCTCCTCCTCCTCCTCCTCCTCCTCCTCCTCCTCCTCTCCTCTCCTCCTCCTCCTCCTCCTCCTCCTCCTCCTCCTCCTCCTCCTCTTCCTTCCTCCTCCTCTCCTCCTCCTCCTCCTCCTCCTCCTCCTCCTCCTCTCCTCCTCCTCCTCCTCCTCCTTCCTCCTCCTCCTCCTCCTCCTCCTCCTCCTCCTCCTCCTCCTCCTCCTCCTCCTCCTCCTCCTCCCCTCCCCCTCCCCCTCCTCCTCCTCCTCCTCCTCCTCCTCCTCCTCCTCCTCCTCCTCCTCCTCCTCCTTTTCCATTCCTTTTCCTCATGAATCATTGCTCCCTGTCGCTCACCGAGTCAAGCTGTTGGGCGGGCCGGGCGTTCAGCACGAGGTTTCCTCGTCTTTCGTGACCCCAGGGCTCGCTTCGATTCCTCCGATTCGATTCGATTCGATTTTGATGGATTCCGATTCCGAATCGATTTGACTTGGGATCCCGATTTGGGTTCCGATTTCTCATTGGAGGCCTACTAGCCTGCCGATTTCCGCCGATTCGACGTTTTCCGACTCGGCTGCCGATTTCCGCCGATCCGATTCACTTCGATCGCCGATTCGACTTGTCGATTCGATTCTGGGCTCTCCTGTGACCCTGATGCGCAAAGCTTGGCAAGTGTTTCACCGATGGAAAGCGGGTCGTTTTCAGAATGCGGCTCTCGCTTCAGCACCGCGCCATTTCGTTTCCAACATTTGCAGCGAAAGTTCACGGATTGAGGGCGACCCGTCTGCAAAATGTGGCTCTCGCTTTTTTTGCGCCGCGCGCATTCGCTGAATGACAGGAGCTTCACATATTGAAAGCGACACGTTTTCAAAATGTGACAGCGCCGCGCAGATTCGGTCAAATGTGCAAGAGTTTCACGGATTGAAGGCGGCCAGTTTCGAAATGTGGTTTTCGCCTTAGCACCGCGCGCATTCGCTTGACAATTTTGTAAGAAGTTCACGGATGGAGGGCGGTTCGTTTCCACAATGCGGTTCTCGCCGAATCGCCGCGCACCTTCGTTTTGATAGTTGCAAGAGCTTCACGGATTGAGGGCGAGCAGTTTTCAAAATGTGGTTATGGCTGTAGTATTGCGCGCAATCGTTTTGAAAAATTGCAAGAGTTCCACCTTTTCCCATGATCAACGTACCAGATATGATGTTTCGGAAGAATTCAGGATTACGAGGGCGCAACAATTATGTTGATCTGCGGCGTTGAAGTCCCAGGAATGGCGTTTGGACACGGTTCAAGATCGTCCAAACGCAACAATCAAATTGATCTGTGGCGTTGGAATCCCGAGAACAATGTTTTGGCATGCTTCAGTGTCTTCAGACGGATGTCCTGGGGGTAGAGCCGGAGCGCTTGTCGTACAGCGCCATGATGCAGTACCACGGCGACCGCTGTTGGGGAGTGGTCCCTCCCAGCAAAACAGTAGTAATGCACCGCAACACATGCAATTCCAATATCACGTCAAGAATGTGTGTCCGCGACGGTTGTGGTCCCGCTTATTGTTGTGATCCCCGTTGTGGTCAAGGAGTTTCCCTCCCGGGTTGTAGGGCCGTGTTCTTTCGCACGCGGTTCCCCCATTCATGTGTCGTGGCAAAACGAGCGTGTAGCACCCGTTGCCGTGTCCTGGCCATGGCGTGCACCATTGGTAGCAAAGTCGTAATTGCAGCCTTCCTGGTGATCTCCGTCGTGGGCCAGCCCAGCCAGCGTGTAAGGCCAGCTGTCGGCACGCGGACGCCCCGGCGCAGGTCGTCATTGGCAGAACATTCCCAGTAGTGGTGCTCGAGCGTGGGCATGTGTGGCCCACCGCAATGGTTGCGCAAGTATTCGAAACCTCCCCTGTTGTGTGGGATTGCAGGAGGGCGTCTGACACAGCACACCCACACAGTACCGCGGTCATGTGTGAAGCCAAATCAGGAGTGGTACGTAGTGCCTCCTGGGCGGTCCGCAGTGCAGCGGTCGGGAAAGGAACGCCCGCCGGCAGCGGGCTCTCCCGGCGAGTCTTGTTCGGTAGCACGGACCATTTGGTTGATCGGAGGATCAGGCGAAGCTCGTGTAGCTGCTTGCCCGTCCTGTCGGTGAGCCCGAGGCGTCCCTGAGGTCCCTTCCACTCCCAGTTGTCGTCCTGCTGCGCACCAATGGTAGCCAGGTGAGCTTTGTAAGCCATGATCGGTCCGTTCGTTTGTGCATTCGTGACAGCGCGCTCCCAGAATGCGAGGGCATCTTGGCCCTGCCTGCACAGCCGGTATCGGAGTATTTGCAGGAATCGCCTGCACAGGTGGCACCGCACGTCTGCCTGATGCCCCATGAGAAGCATGCGGAGTAGTTCTGGGGCCGCCCCTCTCCACTACTTGAGGGAGGCTGCCCGTTGTACCAATTGCTGGTGGTTGTTGATCATAGTCTTCGTAGGTGGCGTGAGAACCAGCGCCGATGTCGACACAGGTATTGCCATCGCAGTAACCGCAAGCCTTCGTAGTCGTAGCGACAACGGCCACGAGGCGATACGCCGGAGTCGCGCGCACCCTTCCTCGAACTTGCGGTGCTCCTTGTTGGTCAGCCAGGCCCTGTGGAGATTAAGATCCATGCCCAGAATCTTCATGTTCATCCCGGCCAGTTGAGCGGCATCACACCGGTCTGGGTAGATAATTAAGCCGTCAGACTTTCTAGGTGGTCCCATTCTTGTTGTATGCGTTGCATATCCTCTGCTGTACTGGTCATAGCTGTCCGGTCGTCCGCGTAAGTGCAACACGTGGCGGTCGGCGCTATGATTCCAATGCTGCGCAGGGGTCCCACAAGAATCGTGGCCATCGCCAGCATAGCGACGGGGTCACCTTAAGGCAAGCTGTTGGAGACGAGTGTAGATGGGTCGGAGAGGAAAGGGCCCAGCTCAATCCAGCGTTCCTGGTGCTTTCATATGAACACAATGCTGTTGGTGATCCCATCTGGGACGCCCAAGTGCCGCCACACCGCGCCGACCAAACGCGGGGATACCCAGCCAAAGGCCGATTCATAGTCCCACCTCCTCCGCGTGACCGCTTGTCTAGTTTTCTTCTTTTAACCCCGCCTTTCCGCGAGGACACGGCCAGTGAACTCGCTCGCCGTGCCCTCGTCTCCTACTCGGTATACGCCGCTGGAGACGCCGCTCGCCACGGCCAGACAGCCAATGCACAGGAGGCGTTGGCACAGTTTGCGCGCGAGGCGTGCGCTTCACACGCCGGCCTTGCGAACACCGTAGCTGCCGTTTGGAATCGCTGATCTGCTCTTTCCCTCCCGTCTGCCGGTTCGTATCGTCTTCGTTTCGGTTCGCTCGTTTCGTTTTCGGTTCGGTTCGCTCGCTCGGGCGGTTCCGTTTTTGTTCGTTCGTTCGTTCGGTTCGGTCTCCCCTCCTGCATGCCGCCGTCTGTTGTCCTGTTACCGCTGCCAACTGCAGCCAGTCAGCGCGCCGCTACCCTGTGGCTCTGCTTCTTGTTCCTCTCCCCCCTCTTTCCCTCCTCCTCTACCAAGTAGTAGCATAATGTTGCGTTGGATTTATTAGCGTGGCCGTTTGGGCCACCTTCTAGGGGTATAACACAATTTAGGTGCAGGCGCGGGGCCGATACGTTTTCAAAGGATTTCGTATCATTCGCCATCTTGGTTTTCCTCCCCTTCGTCCTCCTCTTCCTCCCCCCGGTCCTTCCTCCTCCTCTCCCCGCTCTGCTGTCTCCAGATTCAGCTTGGTGGAGTCCCCTTCCCATCAGTTGGGAAGCCAGCAATTTTCATCGTGCTTGGAGCCTGGGGTAGGAACAAAAAAAATGACCGATTCATAGTCCCAGGATGTGACGTGTAGTTCGCCCCGGCGCTGCTGAAGAAGAGCTTGCTGTTCTGGCGTATCTTCGAACGTGCCATCTAGCCTGTTGGCAGTGATCGTTTCCTCGAGTCGGGAGAGGCATGGCTCGATGAGTTGTTCTAGAGCGCGGCCCTTCATCCACCCACCCTGCGTGTCAGGGAAGACCGCTTGAAGATACTCAGTGAGCTGAGCCGCCCTCCAGCGATGCCAGGCTCTGACAATCGCATTTGTGATTGTTATAGGACGTAGTGGCGTCAGCACCGGCATGGTTGCAGACTCATCCTTGGGAAGGTGTGTTTGCCTCCACTGCAGGAGTTGAGGCGGCCAGCCGTGTTGTTCAGCCTCGGCGCAGATGTGAATCAGCTCCACAAGGGCGTCGTCTGCTGGAAGCATCAGCTCTTCTGGGCACCACTGGTCGGGACCATGGGCTTTCCCTCCGTAGAACATTCGTCGGAACTCCGTTGCCTCAGGCGCTCTCCATGGGTCCAAGGGACCAGCCGTAGCGAAAACATGTCGAGCGTGGTGGTGTTCAAGGTCTTGAGTCTGCTGAATATCATCCCGGGCACTATCCAGATACGGCTGGTACGGATCGAGATAACCTCGCACATTGTTCCCGAGACCGCAGGCGTGGAAATGTTGGTCGCAATAATCCCTGACGCGGTTGACAGCATCCTGGTCGAAGTGATTCGTCGCAGCGTGTGCCGTTCCTTGTGGGACCTTCCGTGTAGGGTCCTGCACCGCAGTGTTGGAGTAAGACGATTCTTGGTTCCGTATCCAAACCACTGTGGTCTTGCCGAGCCCGTCTGCTTGAAGTTTCTGCCTCCAGACTCTGAGCCGTTCCTTTCTGGATCCCTCCAGACAAGCAGATAGCGCCCGTTCTACCTCCCTCATGGCCCCTTCCCGCTCCCACGGGTTGGTGTAGCTGGAAGGCGTGGTCGTGGTGGT